TATTAATTGAATTAAGGAACAATAACTGGAGAGGTATTTTTATTATTAAAAATCCTCAGTAATTATTTTATTGTGTGTACCTTCTTTTGCTATTATTTTTCACCTGATTTTAAACATATATATATATATGTAATGGAAACAAAAAGTCATCATTTGACTGAAATATTATCCAAAGTATTTTTAATTAAATTTTAACAACCAATTTTGTAATGTAACTAATGCATAAATAATCCATAGTCCTGTATCATATAATAATACATTTATGGTTTTGTGAATGCATTGATATTTATTGTGTGTGTATAAAACTATTATTTAAATGCTCAGTATCATTTGGGAAGTTTCTCTGGCTACACATACATTAATGAAATTATTTGCAAAAACTGATAATTAATTTGTACAACACAATATATCAATTTCTAAAATTTCAAATACCATTTATTTGTTAACGTATGGACATTGTAGTCTAAAATATGTCAGTCATACTTCCAATCCTTTACATTTAAGAACTAATTTATGTCATTCAGAATGTAATAAAGGCCTACCACATTCTATTGAAATAGATCACCATAATTCACATGCTTTGGCAAGTATGTTTAAAAATCACTATTCTAGGTAAAGTAAATGATGATAATATATCAGGGAAGTTTATTTATTTTGAAAAAATACTTATCCTTATGGTCTTAACAAAAATTGCCCAAATAAAACTGCAGGTGTCTTTCCTTTGATACAAGTTGATTTATTTTTTTTCAAATTAATTCATTTAATATACAAAACAGAATTGGGGTAAGGGTCTTAAAAATAATACTTGGGTTGATTTTAGTGATCTATGTAATTTTTGGTAATGTTTTTACAATAAGAATAGTATATATAGTTTCCTTTTATACATGTACCATTTTTAAACAAATTTAAAATTGAGGATTTTCAAAATATTTTTAAGACATGTTCATTAATGCCATGTATGGATACTCTTACTGCTTTTGCTGCTGAAGTCTTATCTGGAGATTGATTTTAAACAGTCTTAAATTATCTATTGTTACCTTTAACTTCCCACAGTAAGTTAAAATATAACATACTTGTTGGTTCCTAACTTTATAAAACATTTATTAATTCTTTAACTCCTGATAATATTGATTCATTACCCTGTTTGTGTATGAAATATAATTTATATGATTTTTATCATCATATATTTACTGATGATTTAGTTGTAGATTAGGTATATTTTTAAAATCATAATGATTGATTATTTAAAAGGTTATTGGGTTATTATCATTAACAGAAAGGTCTTGGATTGTGTTTATAAACTACAGAATTTCTTCAATTCCTTCTTTAATTATCCTTGAATTTACTACTATATTTCCTAAGATACCTTTGGTGAACCTTATAAGAGTTTCATTCATTTTGAGAAGTTTTTTAAGAATGTAAAGTAATGTTCCATCCCTTCACTATAGAAGTTTGTAAACGTTTATTAAGATTTTGTATCTTTAATACCTTTTGACATTTCAACAATTCGAACTTGTTCATCATGTGCTAAGGACAAATATTTTCTGGTCATTACTTAGATTTGTATTTTTCTTTTGCAAATTGTACTGTTAATATAACCATTTGTGATAAGAGACATGATCATAAGTTTCATATATGTGGTCAGCGTTGTAGGTCTCGAGACCACCCTTCAGAAGGATTCGATCTCGAACTATTTGGGTCTCAGTGTTTTACAGCTCTCGAAAATATGACTGGCTAAGTTTAAAAGTTTTACCAGTATTTAGACCTACTCAGGATTTTTAAGTACTAAATATCGATTATGTAGCATTTCATATGAGGCACGGTGTAGCATCAAATATGTTTTACTAGTAAAACCCCTTGGTAGTTAGTACTATACCTTTGCAATGATGTTTATAGCACCTCCCTTATTTTTGCTTACATCACCAACTACCGTATTTCCTGTACGTTAATCTGCAGTTATAGCATACACTATTCAAAAATAATTGCTACTGTCACATCTGTGTTCATTTGTTAATTTTCCGTAGAAATTCTTTCTGAAGAAACTTCTGCGATACAAGTCCTTTCTTAAATAAAAGTAGTTTATTCTTTCTCATTTCAACTTTGCAATACACTTAATTTCCACAGTCACTTTAACTTAAACTCAAGCTATAATTCACAATGATTCACACACCTTGATACTCAGAAGGGTTTGCTGAGATGCAAAATCTATGACAAAGTTGCACCTTCGGCCATCCAGCTTCCCTGTCACATAGACACTATGTGTGCTTGCCATTTTACACTTAGCTGTTGGGACTTTCACAATGGGGGTTGGTGGGCATACCTCAACACCAACCACTACTGGTTTCCCAAAGCTGACTTATTGGTGGTATTCTTCTTACACTGGCTCCTCATATGTCCCTGCTCTCCACAGTTCCAACAACCTTTCTGGGTAACAGCGTTTCCTACTGTGGTATCTTCCCTGTTTTGAAGTTGCTAGCATTGGGCTCTCTTGTACCCAGGTTCATTACAGTGCCAGCAGAGTCCCTCAAACTTCTGCCTTTTCTGGCCTTTAATCCTGATGACTGTACCAACCTTGGTACCTCTGTGCTGGACTTAACGTAGGATTCAAATTCAAGAGCTCTGGCCATTGCATCCTGCATATTAGAGGGGTGTGCTTGCTTCACTTGTATCTTTAGTTGTGGACTGTCCAAGGCATTTACAAACTGATCCCTCAACAACAACTTGAGGAGATCGGGTGGTGCAGTTGGGTAGGCCTTGTGTGCCATACTTTCCAAGTCCTGTGCTAGCTCTTGCAGGCTCTCCCCTTTAGCACGGACTCTCGTCCTAACCCTAGCCCTGTAGACTTCTAACTGATTTTGGGTTCCATACCTGAGTTCTAGAGCCGCTACCAGTGCTCTATAGTTGTGCCTGTCGTCTGGCGACAACTGACCAAGTATTTCCAGTGGTTGTCCCTTCAAGCTCGTTGCCAGGTACACTGCCTTCTACTCCCCTATCCATCCATTCATTTCTGCCAGGAGCTCAAATTGTGCTCTATATGCTTCCCATGGTGCATTCCCATC